CATCGCATCATGCCTTCTCATGAACCCAGTTAAGAAACAGCTTCTGACAAACATCAAACAAATGCTGCTAAGAAATATGCAAAAACTACTGTCAAGTTTTATCTTTGAGCTCTGTTAATGTGTAACCAATGAGTGTAGTCTTGACACGCACTGTGCTGTCACTAGGCCTACGGCCCACCCGAAAGGGAACCGTCAGAAAAATCCCAAGTATCGGAGGAACTCCACCACTCTCTCTTCCAACGCAGAACAGAAGACAAGATATTAATCGATAGCAAGACAGATTGTCAGCATCAAAAAAACGGTTTCCTGAGCAACTGGCATGCAAACCAAGCACCTGCCATGTTAACACAGCAAGCTGACTATGGTGCAGGCAGGATCAAAGGGGTATGAGACACATTAGGTTTCAAGAGATAAAACTCATAGATTCTTTCCGAACTGGAAAGAACAATAACTATTTGAGATGACAGTAAAATAGGTATCCACAGTCATATCTGATCCAATACTGATTAACACTGAATACAAACCAGACCTATTTCTTTGACATAATATTGGATTAAGTCAACCAGTTTAATGAGGGGAAGTGAATATGAAGATTTAGAGCCCAGCAAGGAAGAACTAGGGGTGACACAACACTCCTGACATTAAGTGGGTAATTTATCTTATCCTATGTGGTTAAGTGGCTTTCAGATGTCAGGTGCACGTTTCTTTCCATTAACTGTCAGTGCACTGCAAGGTGACAAGCTCAGATTTACAGGTCTACCTTTGGGATGCCTAAAGTGGGAAGCATCCCACCGCACATACTCACTAAGCGACCCCTTATCCTAAGGAAAGAGAAAGACAGGAGAAGCTGACATCATTACTCACACTCTGAAGAAACAGTAGAATCTTTTCTATTTCCTGTGACACTAAGTGGAGCTATCTGAACTGCCCTCTGCTCAGTTTTAAGCTTAGGAGAGAACCACAGTTCTATTTGTCTTCTCTCAGCTTTCTCAGTCAACACATCCCATTTACTACAATCCATATATTTTCAAATTGTACCGAAATTTCACACAAAACATCCCCAAAAGATAAAGGATCTTCAAAAAGAAAGGAAGAGAGAGTGCCAAGGTGCTATTCTTGCTCAAGAATTTGGGGCATGTATTTCCATAAGCTATGTTACTGCCAAGACTACAGCTCTCCAGATCCTCAGGGTGTGCCCATGTATTACAGATGAGAACAGAATTACGCTTAAAAATCTGAAAACCAAACAAGCTTGCGAGAGTCCAAACACAGTGGGCAAGTTGTAGCTTTCTTTTATTGTTATTATGCAATTCAACTCTGCTTGATTAATTTTATGGAACCAAAATACACCAAGAAGGAATAAGAAGGAATGTATTTCCATACAAAATGGGCAAAACTTTATGAAATTAAAGTTATAGAGCTTAAAATATTCCTTGGAGGTATCAATTCATTTATGTTTTTATTTTTGAGAAATCATTCTGCTGGACAGTAAAAGGATAATAAACATTTTGGAAGAATGAAATCAAACACATCTTTTTTTTAAAAAAAAAAAGTAGTGTTCCAAAATAATTTATATAAGCAATTCTTTCATCTTTCTCCAGATTTAAATACTATTAAATTTTACTGAAGATATGACCTGTACTTGTTCCACAAACAATTAGCAGTAAAACTACATAGAAATATCATATTAGGACATACCTTATTAGGACAGTGGAAAAATTAAGTCAAACCTTTCTGGTGTGGAATGGACATTATCTGTATCAAGTTCAACAACACACTAGGGAGTACTTCTGAAGTTTCTGAGAAGGATGGGGTATTTTGAAGAAATATTGTCTCTTCAGTACAGTAAAAAGAACTGTTTATGTTAGAAATTCTTTCAAGAAGGATCAGCATGAATTTAAGAAGTTATGTTTTCATTTTTGCATTACTTTATCACTGATCATAATAGCTAGAGATTAAAATAAAAGTATGTATTGCACAGCTTTCCTCTCTCTCTCAAAATGTCTATGTTTATAGTTGTAGACAAGAAGAAAACACATCCGTGCAACTAGGGATCACAACTGAGGACTGAATTACCCTTAAAAACAGTCAGTCTTCTCCGAAGTCAGGTCTAAACTACCAATTACTACCTCTATGCCTGGTCAATAAGGTTACTCACCTTTTCTCATGTCACAGTCAGAGACAATCGTATGTGTTTAAACTCCCCATCACATCACATTATATGGGCAGGGAGAAACACAAGCTGTGTGTCGGAGATGAGACTGAATCAGCACTGCATCCATGAGGCAGGTAACATCCAAACCAGGGTACTGCTCCAAAAGAAAGGGAAGCGACTTTCTGCATTGTGCCTCACAGCCAAGGGGGGGAAAGCTAAGCTGCTTTTAGGTTGATGAAGGCCTTCTGAACACTGATTTTTTGAGGAAATTGAAAGGGTCTGTGTGATTTTGATAGCCCTTGGAGCTTGTTTTAGGAACTGCTGTGCCACGTCGAAGCACCCGACCCAGCTGGGGCAGCTGTGCCACACTGCTGCATCAGCGGGCAATTCCCCATTGCTTGTCTCAGCAAGAACTTGTCCATCTGCTTTCCTACTCCCAGAAGTTCAGGCACTCTGCCATCAAGGCCTGCCCCCAACACACTCCTCTTCTACCAGTCTTTTAATGGTACTCTAGTCCTACTCATGATAAAGGAACAGAACAAGGATTGGGCCTATTCCTAGTCTTTCTTTGTCTGGGAGAGGGGAAACGAAAACAAGAAATACAACACTCTTCTTAAAAAGGTACAATACAGTCAGCTAGCCAATTAGATTAACTTCAGCATCACTGTAACAGTTTGGGTTTTTTTAATAGGAAAAATGATAAATTAATAAAGTAAAAAAAGATCAACAAAAAGTATACCCTATATGGCAAGTCTAGCCAAATCCGAGTATCTTATTGCTACTCTTGAAATACAGAGCATAAATCTACTGTCTGCAAACATGCAGCTCCTTCCTCCACTCAGAGTGGCTTGTAAGGCACTTACTCAAGGTAATACTACTGACAGGAGTCTGTGCAGAGATTTTAAATAAACAAGAATCTAGTTACATATCCCTGTTGGAAGAGTATTTCCTCATAAGTAATATCTGTGTATGCACATGTGTATACACTGTAAATATTTAGCTCAACTACTTTTTTCCATGGTACATGAGTGGCAAATGCAGCAGCAGTCCGCTGCAGCTCATCAGTAACAAAAGAAAGTCAAGTTTTTAGAAATGCGAAATCTTGTGAAAGACTTCACAGCTCTCTGGCGTAGTTACCTCCGAAAAAGCAGCAGGATCCAGTACCACTATCAAACTGCTTTGGAAAGCAAGTGGGGAATGCATTACTCATCTAATCTGTGGGTGGGTTTTAGGTAGACAAAACTTGGCCAGGTAATGCATGTTGGGCCTTTAAACAAGACCTTGCCTTTATGCTTACTGAACAAGACATCCTAGAATATTGGCTCAGTCCTGACTCTGAAGAAAAACACTCACTTATAAGAATCGGCTTAAGAAACAGCTTTTTTCAGTGTCTACATTTTCAGGGAAGTCTACAGCCACATCTGACTGCATTCAGTGCATAGAAAAAGAAGAAACTGTTACACTGATTCTGTGTAACTGCACACTACTTCTCTGAGATGCCAAAATCAAATAAAATCAGAAAAGATTGTTACCTTACCAAACATTTAGTAGTTCTAATAGTCTAGATATTTCAAAATATTCTGCAATACTCTACTAGTCAGAGAGTACATGTATCACGGTCCTCTGAAGTCTGAAGTGATGACCTATTTCTAGTCCTTTCCTGTTGCCAATGGGAAGATACCACACGGCAAGAATAAAGGGTAGTGCAAAAAGCAAAGTGATACTTCTCTTTCCCCATGATGCCTCCTTCCCTGCTACATTTCTGGACTGTTAAGTAAGGGCTAATCACTAGTTTATGTCATATTCAGTCTAGCACTGGCAGCAGGAACAGAGTGGTAGGGCACACAACTGTGTTTTACTGCAGTGAAGCTGAAACATCACTGAGCCATAATTTCTGTGTGACACTGTGTCTGAATCTCAAACATCTCTGGTGACCGTTTGTAGTGAAATGTACCTCAGTACTGCTGATTCTTGCAAGCCCCTGCTCAAATATAGCTATAAATACACTAGCAAACAGAAAAGTCAGTAGTATCAGGAATTCTTTTCACACTGCCTTTGACATCACAGTGTTTTACTGATGCAATGTTCCCAGGTACCTCAAGAATCAAAAAGTTTGAAATGTTCCACTCCTTTCCTCTCATTTTACACTTTCACTACCAACATATTGCACGTCCTGATTTCAAAATGGGGACAATTCCATTGCCTCAATTCATAAAGAAGGCACTACCTAACCAGCACTATATGTGTTAATTATTAACTCTGATCATAGTAAAACACAAAATGTTTTATAAATGCCAGAAATGCTCAACGGAACTCTGATTTTCCATTCTGCGTGAAAAGCATCATGCAGAAAAAGAGTCTGTTCTAGCAGATTACAAGAAAAGAAAGATATTGGAAAAATGATAGAGCAGTACAAGTCAGGGCAAAAAAAAATTACTGAAGCTTGAAGGTGCCTTCCATCACAAATTAAATACAGTACAAGGGTCAGTTATAAAAGAAGGAGAGGTGGGGCATTAGGAAGAAACAGAAGAAAAAACCCTCATTCATTAGAGAAAGAGGAAAGAGATTATTTATCTCCAAAGTGTTAAATTGAACTTGCTGCAAAATTGATCAGACCTCTCCAGACTCGGAAACACCCTACAGCAATTATTGATCAAGAGCAGTGAATGTGCTACAGACCATGTTTGTGTGCCATATGAAAAAAAAAAAAAAAAGAGGAGGGGAAAAGAACTAAAGTGTGTTTAAAACATATTTAACTTCAAAACACACTCAACTGCTGAGTTAATGATTGCATGAGTTATTGCAGCAATGTATATGAGGATAGATTATCTTCAGAAAAACGTACCTGGCTAGATTGAACGCATCATCAATCAAGCCTGCTCGATTACTGACAGAGATAACCTGTAAGGGGCAAGCACAAAAAAGGAACCATTTAGGGTGATGAAACAGAGAAGGTTCACCTACCAAAGCAGATTTTAGGGATGAGAAGAGAAGCTTACCTCATGATTCCTTGTTAGCTGATTAATTAGCAGCCTCCAATTCCTAATATCATAATTAACTCTAAAGTAGCCGGTCTGGTTGATGTTCCCCAGCAACCAACTTGCCTCTTCCAAAGCAGGAATTCTATGGTGTTCTGGAAACAAAGAACAAGATGGGAAGGGGACTTGGTTTAAAATTTAAAAATTCTAAAGACATACCTGTTAAATTCTTTCCTTCTTTAAATATCCATGAAGGCAGTAAAACTAATTCAAAGATGAACAAAAACATTGTGTTTGATTAATAATTTCCTTTATCTGTTCTGATGTAGAGAGACACCAGCTGGCATTCCTATGGGGACCTTTTACCCACACAGAACTCCAAGGGTGTTTTTTCCTAGCAAACAGTATTTATATGAGAGGTACCCGTTTTAAGTCTGGTACCCTGATTCTGGCCGTGCTAAAATAGCTTTCTACAATCATAAGTCCAATAATTCAATGGATGTGCTACAGAGAGAAGACTAAATCTGTGATTAAAAAAAAATAAATTCTTAAGTGTCTGCATGTAGTCGATGAAGCTTTTATATTGGATTTTAAATTAAAGTATTCCCAGTTGTACAGACAGCTTCTAGCTACTAACCACTGAGAGGCTCCTGTTTAGAGATAGACCAATTAACCTTATATCAACTAAACTGTTCTTCCTCTTTCCCCTCTTTTTAAGTAATCACTTTGGGGCTGAAAGTCTAAATTTATTCCAGTATTTGTACAGTCAGGCAGTCCACAACTATTTGCAGGACTAGGGATTTCAAAAACAAAAATGCCCTGCAGTCACAACACATAATTCTTTCACTATGGAAAGAATCATCATGGAATGAAACCTCAGGCTTCAATGTCTCTTGAAGAAGCATTCAATCTAGCAAATTATTCTGACAAAACTGATCATGAACCAGAACTCACTACAAATTCAGCAACATTTTTTTTTGCCATAATAAAACTAGTTTGTATGCTGTTGACAAAAGCAACAGTCTTCTCATGCATTTTTAAAAATAAAAAAGAAATACATAAAATTAGTTTTAAATGTAATTCCATCAGGGAATTGTTTGGTGTGCTTGAATTCCCCGAAAGTAGCAAATGGGAAAAAAAGTTAACAGTATGGTCTTAACAATTCACACGTGCTATCTACTACCTAGACTTACTAAAGAAATTGATTTGTTTCAGCCTTTCTTATAAAAAAGTAATTTCTGAGGAAGTAATAGATGACTAGGACTACAGATAAAAGTTATGCTTCTCCCTTGACTAAACATCTCTGGCAAACACACAAATAACTATCATTTTAAGGTGCAAAAAATACAAAGAGCAGCAAGATCCCTACCCTAAAAACACCTAATTATAAGTTTAACTTTAAATTCATGGAGTTGAGTTATGCACATGAATTCAGATAAAAAGCTGCAGGACTAAAAAGGAAAGTCCTCTTCTCACCTAGGTAGTTCTGACATCATTAAAATCTCTTAAAAAGACAGTTCTTAGAAATACTAAGCTCAGAATAACTCAGTTGCTGCCTATTCAATTCATTTGTTATTGCTTTTTTAGGGTTTGTCTAACTGACTTGCACCAGTTCAATGTAATTATTCTATACAAGCAATTGAGAACAAATACACAGACCCCTGGTTTTAGTTAGAACACTGATCACATTCGTTTAGTTATCTGTGATCAAGTGCCAAGCAGACACAGTCTTCAGGAGCCAACGTATCCTGCAGAAATGGGACTAACTGAGAAAACCAGAATTAAGTCTTACAACTCTGTGGGCTTCCCAGGCGTTCATACTGTCAAAGCCCCTAAGCTGCTTTTACCATGCAATCTGATTTGGAATAAGGTTTTAACACCGCGTGTCTTTCCTTCCCCAGGGGTCTGTTAAATACTGGGCTGTAAGTCCTAAGCAAACTCTCTTGGGCTGCTATACTGAAGTTGCTCCTCTGTTTAAATCCTTTTTTCACTGGACCTGAAGTCAGAATCACCCAGCTGCTCCAGCCTACTCACGGAAGACTTGAATCCTGGTTCCTGCGTAAATCACTGAATCTTACACAAAGAAAAACATTACTGTAGAAATACTGTAAAAGATCGTAACAATTTACAGCGCAGTGATAAAGGCACTTTCTTAGAACAGATCTGGATCAAATATCTGCTGTAAAACAGGGAGAGAAGGAATATGAACCTGGTTCTGCCCCATCCTATTTAGTTTACCCAGTGTGGTGCTGTGAATACAGCCTGTCGCCCCTAAATCTCAGCTATGTTTCTTATCAACCTAGTAGGTTTCTTAAGAGCAACAGCAAAAATACCCACTTCTATATCTAGCAGAGACTGCTGAGGGAAACGATGACTTTTAGAGTTTCTCTGGGTGTTCAGGGGCGTACTGCCATGCGGGGTCAGGAGCAGGCTGCTCATGCCTGGCAGAAAATCCCACCACCTTAAGGCAGTACTGCTTTCCGCCCATGCTTTTCTGTTGTAAACTAACCTTTAAATGCCACCGCCCCTGAAAGTAGCTACTTCTAACTGGTTAATCCCTGCACCTCTATGATACCTAGAAGTGTACTGGATGGGCTATGAGCACACATTAATCAACATCTGGGTAAACAAACACATTCAATGGAAATTTTCAAAATCAGATTTAATAAAAAAGCTACATACATTTTTTCTTGTTTCAGCATTTGTATTAAATTTTGATCTCTGAAGAGTGAAAATTACTTGTGCTTTAATAGAGTACTGAATGATACTTGTCAGTCAAATATGACAAGTTCAAAATAACCTATTTAACAAGCAGCAGTTGTTCAACACCTCCAACACACATTGCTTTAATGGAGAACAGTATCTTTTCAAAGCTCGTTGGCATTATTGCTGTTTTGGTCAGTTTAAATCCAACCATAACCCCTTGCTATTATTTTTTGATAAGACCACTCACGTCTTGACCTTCTCTGAAATACAGGCATCTTTCATACCTTTCCACCTCATATAAGGAGGTGGTTATTTTAAGGGACTGCCTGATGCATGTGCTTCACATAGAACTATGTAATTTACTGGAATTTGATGTCTGAGTCTGTTGATTCTCATGCCTCCCTATAAAAGAAATTCTTTCTTTTGGTGATTACAGCACTGAAAATTTTTATACACCTGGGCAATTTCTCCACTTACAACACATTTATTAGTTTCCTGCTAAAAGTATTCTAGTTAGGGAAAAGGTAGTCATTCAGTGTTAAACCCTATATTAAACCATTCATGACTTTCTAAACAACAACAAAGATTTGATTTGGGAAGAAATCTATCTTTGATGGTTTTAGTTCACCTCTTAAAATTCAATCTAAAATATATATGCAGTTGTAGCTGAGATTAAAGGGAATTTTTTTTAAATCTTCTTCCATCAGAAAGTGTTTTTCCATGGTTATGTTTTGTCTGGATGCCTTAGAAAATAACACTGCTCTGAAACCTCCAGGTTTGCCACATAGATATAAGAGACATTTAGGAGGAAATGGTTACATTTTATGACATTTGTTTTGAAGTAAAAAATCAGTTAGGGTCTGATTCTCATTTTCTCTGCTCTGGAAGTGTGAGACAGTCCTCCAGCTGGTGCTAACTGCGTGTGGTTTGAAGTTCTGAGTTCTCCCAGCTCTCCAGCAACTTCAGCTCCATCAATTGATGGAAGCCTGCTCCTCCGCATGGCAACCTGAGCGCCTTGTGAGGCAGGTCTGGGCAAAGGGCACCCCTCTGCAAGATGCTACTCCACTGCTGACAAGAGCGTGGGCTAAACACAGTTCTACTACCATTTCAAATGTTCAGACTCACAGTTGTTTTAACTCTTCATTTTATACAACCCCTAGTGTACTAGGAAATTGGTTTATGCTGGTAGAATCCCTACTGGGAGAACTGACTCCATTTTCCTGAACAAATAACTGCACAAGAGTAGAGCAATTTCATGCCAACAACAGCAAGTGAAATTTTTCTGACAAAGAAAATGTTCCACAAGGAATTTCATCACAATCACAATATTTTGTGAAAAGATACTGGCTTTTAACTACATTCTGCAAATCTTTTTGCAAGAATTTTTCATACAGGGAGAAGGCAAATCAGAAGAAAAAGTTCTTTCCATCTCACTTGCCATGTTGCCATAGCTCCATGTTGAAAAAAATGTTTTGGTATAGTGAACAGCACAATAATTGGAGCACATCAGTACATATAATCATGTTCTGTCTCACATACTCTTTCCTCAGACTACCCTTGCATCTGTTAACACTCCTATATGATGGACCTGCTAATGTCTAAGGTGATACACAATGTAAGCAGCAGTCTTCTGTTAGGATCTTTGCTCAGCTGTTGGGATAAGGGGACTGATTCTCCTCACACTGTCAAAACCGTGCTGGGATTGCAGGTCTTGTATCCCTGGTCCTCACTATAGCTGGCTAAAGTTGTAAAGCCGGACCTATGTACTTATTTTACTTCACAGTGCTTCCCTTCCTCCCGCTTTTGAAAGATAAAGGAGTGGCATTTGGAAGCAACACGGGTCAAGCTCCACAGCTGAGTCTCAGAAAGGAAAAGAAAGGGTATTTTTCTAATGCTGCACTAATGCTCTGTTCCCCAGTGGGCAGCCAGCAAACCCCAGCTCAGAAGCAGTTGTCTTCTACAAAACACTTCATGGAGGAGAATCAGACTGTCAAGGGGCTTACAGTTAAAGTAGAGATTATCTAGTAGGAGGTGGCCTAATACAGTAAGTTGGGACTTACTGTTTGGAAAGCAATTGCTCTGTTGAACTTTCTTTTCCCCATCTCATGGCAATCCCGTGAAGATACTAAGAGGACTCTGAATGAGAGTCACTTTACTAGAGGCACGGAGGTCCATCAGAGAAATATTTCCCCAGGACATTACAAATCAGTCAAGGTACAGGAGGTGGGGATGGAAAGGGCAGGGAGGCAGACTTGTAAAGCTGCATCAGTCAGTTCTGCAGCACTGGCTGAGTCGCGTGGAGACGTTTCCTACCTGGAGGCCAAGCATGAGGACAATCACACCCATGGAACAGCAAGTATGCCTTTGTCCAAAGCCTTGCTCATCTGTTTGAAATGGCTGCTAGCTAAACCTCCTTACTTGAGGTAAAGGTCGCTTCTCCTGGATTTGCAGAAATGTGACAGGTGAGCTTGTGCTTCCACGCTTAGTATGCCCTCAGCCGCAATTGCCAACATCTTCCCACAAGCCCTGCTAAGCAGCTGTCTTGTGGGGATGGGCTGAGTTCAAAGCTTGTCCCTGATTTTTTTATCCACTACTGATTTTGGGCTGCAGACATAATGTTCATACATCATTACAGTGACCACAAAAGAGGCAACTTATCTAGAGGAAACAGAAACAAGCCTTGGATCTATGACAGAGCAGAAGTTTGTAACACCAATGATTTCCACAGTGCTGGTCAAATCTATCATTCAGCAGACCTGCAAGGCTGTAGCACAAAGAGCATTGCAGCCATCTTAATGTGATGTCTCTGACCTCAGCATGGACAGGAAGGCTAATCATGAGATATCTCCTTTGTGACTGGTTTCGTTTTCAGAGGTTTAATAGCTGTCACTCGTCTGAAACAGAACGGCCTTATCCATGGCTATGGGGAGTGAACAGGGAAAAAGGCAGTGGAGACTTATCTGTGCAGCACTCTGAGAGCAGAAGAGACAGCTCCATTTCACATACCCAAACTGAGCCAGTAAAAGGGTCATCTGATGGCTGGTATACCAACCGATGAGTAGAAAAGTAGTTACATAAACGCTACGCCTCACTGGGTAAGGAGAAGAGAGACTGGCAGAAGCACTTACAAAATGAAAACCTTCCAAAACTATGACTACATACTTTCCACGAACAGGTGTGAAGAGCTACATTGAATATGAAACATCTTGGAGATTATGCACTTTGTCAAACAAGTTGCCAAGGCCTGGCACTGTCCTCTCTACAGGATTTGTTGCAAAGGACAATGAATTACATCTCAAAAAGATGCTGCATAGTTGTTATTTCCAGTGTGTCCCTTCACCTTGGTGTTGTGAAGAGAGCTCTTGTTGCCAGCAGCTGGGATGATCTGCCATCATCTGAACTAATCCTGCTCAGCATATTGAATAATCAGCAATCTGCATGCCTCGCAATCTCTAGTATATAACCAGACACAGCCAGGATGAGTAGAGAGTAGCAACCCAAGCATCCTACATGCAGTGGCCCTCACAAGACTGGACAGCAGCATCTTAGTCCTTGCTCATGAAAATGCCAACTGGCATCCTACAATTCCTTGATGAGATCACAGACACAGTAGCAAAGAGGATGCAAAAATCAGTAATTCTCTCTCTTGTCCTTCTGGATGTATATGAAGGAAGAGACTCTTCCATCAGCAAATAACCATCCCTGGCGAACTCTAGTGCAAGGCACGGGGTGTACTCCCCTGGGAAATTATTTAAACTGCCACAAAAAAGGAGTCTTTCTTGATGGCAATATATGTAGCTATTTCAAAACTGCCGTGGTTTCACTTCTTTCAGATAAAATACAGACAAGGTTAATTTTATCGAAAAATTAAAGTGATATGCCAAGATACCATAACGGTAGTCATTAACTTGGACCCTCTTCACTATTGGCAGCTGAAATGAGGTATGTGATCAGTACTACATGACAGACAACAGCTGTTCATCATCTCCTATCCACTCCACTTTACACTGGAAGCTTCTTTAGCACAGCAGTTTAGTTTAGTCAAGAAGAAGGAAATGTCTGCTCCTTCCTAAAGAGGGCATGGAAACCATCCTCATGAACAGTATTTCCTCCAAATTTGATTTGAGTATCCGCATTCAATTACACTCACTTGAAGAACAAGGTGACCACTCTCAATCTTCCAAATATCCTCTGGAGTAGTTTGTTTCACCTCCAGCTTGCAGAGTTGTTCCCAGACTACTCACTGGGACAACAATGAAACTGTGTCCTCTGCACAACAGAAAGTCTTCAGAATTCTTCCCATCCACAAGAATCAATCCTGGAAACTGTCCTTTCCAGTCTCAGAATCCCTCCCACACCCCCATGAAACAAACATACTAGCTGCAGAAAATATCCAGTGGTATCACAAAATCATCTATACCAGCCCAAATACATAACAGCATGTACAATGAATCATACAATCAGTACATCTAAGGATGTTCTTACTGACTTTTTTATGTTGAGGAATTCTCCAGCTGAGCTAGACAACAATAAGTAGAAGCAAGAGGACATCCTTGCTGTACTCATGAGTTTACAGTCTCATTTTCATTGAGGCACAGCAAGTGAGTGACTGAGTAAGAAAGTAATGAGGAAGGACAAGGATAATGACAATAGAACACAGTGGCATTGATTCACTACACAGGAAACTGATGACTCAGAAAGGTTCTTCTTTAATTTCTATACAGCAGCCACCTCAAAATCATTGCTCACACTGGCCATCATTAATTTGTTGATTTCTTGAAGGCATTCCGATAGGAGCAGTAGATCTTAAAAGAGTGGGTAGTGGTTTTATGGACTTGTTCCTCCACAGCACTCTGCAAGTAAAAGGCAATGAGGAAGCAACTGTGCAGATAACAGTGATATACTGAACTTTTAAGGCAGGAGTGAAGGGAAGGAGGCATGCATGTACAACCTAATGAGATGAGATGAGACTCTCTCTGAAGTCAGTGGGAATCTTTCTATTAACTTCAACAAGAGTTCAATCAAGCCCTAAAGGACAAAAGTAGAGCAGGTCATTAAGGCAGACTGTGAAAGTGCAAACAGGTTTTGAAGTATTCCGGAGGTGTTAATATTAAAAAGTATGGCCAATGTGATATACTTCTGCAAAGTGAGGCAGCATGTGTGCGCTTTGACTAGACTATGTTTCCCAGGTATGACAGGTGCCCTGGTCCCAGGCACACTTCTAGATCATCATATCATGGGAGCAGCGTAAAACATGTTACGTTCTGATAGGCTGCAAACGATCAGGGCAAAGAAACACATACCTTATACCACTAGAAAGGTGGAAGACTCTGATTTCCACTGATCGTGCATCATTCATTTCTAGTCCTGCTGGCTCCTAAGCTCTATGTGACTATTATCTTTTAGTGACTTATAAAAGAGAAAAAAAGGAAAAAACACAGGCTCACACAGGTTTGACTCTTTCCTCTCTCCAGTTAAATTTCTATCACAGGGAAATCTCTACACCCTTCTAATTTTACAAGAACGGGTCAGTTCTCTCTCTACAGCCCATGTGTCGAGGGGATGCATGGATCCTTCTTTTCCCTTCCATATAATCATTCTATTCAGGTCTCCACATTTCTTCCCTCACTCTCTTCAATTCCAGTCCAAAACTGTCAGCTGATGTAGCATGAACTGCTAAGGAAACAGAGAAATGTTTCATGAAATTTCTATGGTGGGATCCCTTTTTTAGGTGATAAAAACCCACTGGTATCTAGCCCTAGCTGTCCTCAGGACAATAACTATTATGATCATGTAGGAACTGAGAAGGAAGAAAGTAAGCAGAAAGCAGAATAATGCACTTTTGAGGTCCAGCATCTGGTTATCTAATAGAGAGAAGAAATATTTTGATGGATCAACAAGGAAACTTTTTAATGACAGTAAACATTTCTTAGCCCTGGTTCAGACTATGGATCAGAGTTAAAAATGCCAGAATTCTAAATACTTTGCGTTTACTAAGTCATACTCATCAGATGCTTTGCTATAAAAATATTACATTTAACTTTCACCAATCAATAAACTGAATTGCATTCATCAATGATTTGTGTTGCTAAATATAAAATACTTAGCACTTAGTACACATTTCTATGCAAAAGCTTTTCATTATACTGTCTAACTTCTGTGATAACTATAAATCTTGCTTGTTGCTCATCCTTCATTCCTCCTCCCTCCCTTCCCAACTCTCCTTTTTCTCCTTATTCATTTCAAGTACCTAAAACTGGGTGCAGAGCAACTAAACAATTACCTAGGATCAATTCCATAGAAACAGTTGAGGAAAACACAAATATGCTTTATGAGATTCCACTGGGAGGAAAGTTTATTTTTACCTGATTTGTTAGACACCCATATAATTGTCTCTGATGAGATGTGGCTCGTATTTCCTACTGCAATTGTTAATGGAATCTGCCACAAGTAGCTGCAAGACAAAGGAGGGGGAATCTAAGAACAAAAATACTGAACTGATTCTTCTCACAGCAATCAGGGATCATGTCAAAGAAATCAAAACACAATTTCAGTAGCAGTGTAAAGATGTGGATTCTATCAAGTTACTTTGATTTTGAAATGCATTTGCTATTAGCAATAAAACAACGAAAAAGTCATTCATCTTAAAAAAAAAAAACCTAAGTTATATTTTACATTTTTCACATACTATCATCATATGAGGACTTTGTTGCAAGGCTTTCCTAATTTAACAAAATGATTCACAAAAGAGGAAATAATGATTTCCCATAGAAAGAAGAACACTTTCTTGTATTTACTTAGAAAAAGAGAACCTTTAGGTAAAACACGCTTTGAGTTATAGGGACTCCAAAGTTTAAAAATAACATACTCCTCTAGCAACTTCTTAAAAAGCTATGATGGGCTTTCACAGCTGCTGGTTTATAAAAACAAAATGAATGGGATGGATCTCCACTTCTTTGCACCATTTATTATCACTTACGTGTATACAAACTGGACAAAACATGCTACATGTGGATTTGGAGATACGCTGGTGTAATCAGACCCCAACTTTCTTATAGGGTATCACAAATTTTTTCTCATTTGGAATAAATGTTATAAGTTACCTAAGACTTATATAAAATATCCTTATCTCAAAAACCAGAAATTGACTGTATGAAGTCAATCTTTTGGGGGAGAGATGGAAAGGATGAATTCCTGCGTGTTTTCATCATCACCTCTATTCCTGAACTTTCAAAAGCATCATTTCACCAGTCAGTGACAGAACAGGCATCCCCTCACAGGCCTGCCATGTCATTTTGTACACCGGTCAAGGGGAAGCACTCAGCATTGCTACAGGTGGTACCTTTGTCTAGGGAATACGTGTGCATTTAAGCAAGGTGGCATGGCAGGAGAATGGTCCCAACTCAGATATCACCATATGCTACCACTTCGATATCAAATAAATATACCATTTTAGACTGACTGCATTAAAATGGTGCAAGGATGAGTCTGGGCAAGTTCTTGATGTCTACATCAGCTTCTCTCCTGCTAGCACACAGCATTGCAAAACTAGCCTATGGAACTAAAAAAAAACCTAGGTCTCCTCCTTTCCACTTACCCGGAAGCCTGCTCCACTGAACTACTACCATCACCCAAATATGCCAGAACCACAGCCAACACTTGCTGGCTTGCAAGACCTGCCTTGCTGGCCTCACCTGGGGGCTGGGGAGGGAGAGACCCCGGCCCTGCTGGTCCTGCTGCCATGCTCGGCTCCCACTGCCACACTCGGCTCCCGGCTCCCGACCCATTCCCAAAGCGGCCCCCGCACGCACAGGGGTTTGCAGCGCTCAGAACTGAACCGCATGTGCCAGGAAACACTTGTCCATACAGCCGTGATTCAGCAGAGAGGGGGAGATATTTGGAAAACTGTACAGCTGAAAGAGCTATGAGTGACACTAGAAAGAAAACATGGCATTTATTGCCATATGGGAGAAGAAAAAAGGTCCCATGTGATTTCGGGTTCTCTGAATGTTGGTATCATGACACACTGGGAAAATTATTAGATCTACTCATGCACTGAAGACACGCTCCACATGAGCACATGCTCTGGTGAACGCTTTTTGGATAATTAAGCTGTGGCATTCGAAGATGCACACTCCTTGTGCTGGACGTTACCACTCTCTATAGCACAGCCAGCAGAAAAGGATGTCCACTGGTACTCCAGTTCTCAGTCTGGGGTCTTCACACAAAGTTACCTTCATTGTTGCCTTAACTAATATTCTGGGCTGTGAACTGGAGTAATTAAGTGAAAACGTGTATTGTGTCCTGCTGCTTCTGCTACAGCGGCAGGAACTTCTGGGTTTGACAGGCGAGGGCAGTCAGGAGATGCTGCAAAGTGATGCACTAGAGAATATTCACTACTCTCTTAAATAGCTTATACCTTACTGAACAGCCACCAGTGGTTTAGAGTCTGTCCAAAAAAACTTCTAGAAAATATATAATCTTTAAAAACACACCCAGTTCTAAATACTTCCTCTCCAGAATGAAAAAGATGCTGGAAAACTGTGATTGAGAAAAATGAGGCAAAATTAAGCATGATGCTCATACATTATTTGAAACAACAGGAACTTTGGTATATGAAAAAAATGACAGAACTGCATTTGCATGGTATTTTTATGACTCTTGATATGAACTCCTACTGAAACAGTTAAACTGCAAAATAAAAGATACTGAGAGCTGCCCAGTAGCTGATTTAATATATACACATACACATATATACACATACACAAATATTCGTGTATGAACATATACATGGACACTTGTTATTTTGAGAAGGAATTTCATAGAAAGACATTCTGTACCTTGCAGTACCTATACAGAGAAGAATTTTATATTTCCTTATATTATTTTGTTACCTCCAATTAAGGTAAATCCTATTGAAATAAGGACAGATCCCTCTCTGAAAAGTGATCTAGCTGTGGAACAGGAGTCATGCAAGCTACTCATCCTCAGAAAACACATGTGGATTTAGTTGAGAAGACTAGTACTGGTAGATTTAACTGTCATCTCCCCAAGATGAGAGACCTCCTGATGTTTTTGGCACACTCCAGAACCTCCAAATCTCATCCTCTTGGTTATTGGTTTACCAGGTGAATCACAGATTTCCTTTTAATACACATCTCCAGAAACCCATTTTTCCAACTTTACTGCTGCTGTTCTTTTTCTCTTTCCAGTCCTTTTCATTCTGTGTGAAAATTCTGCCACTGTTGCAGAAGCAGCTGTGGCTAACTTTTTTATATGTATGTGAGGGAGATGTATCTGGCTCCCCTTTCAAGAATTTTCGTTAGGATGACTTCTCCTACACACCATCTCTGAGTGACCTGTAAGGACTGTGTTCTCCAGGTGTGTCTAGGAAGAAGCAAATTTTTTTGCAATTTTCTATCACACTCTTCTTCTTTACAGAGAAAAGAGGAAAAAAGGGGCCCACCCGCCTGTTTTCCTCCTGCTGAGCTTCAGAGGGATCCCCACATAATGTCCCCACATGTTTTCAAGATTCATTTTTTCAGTAACTATAATGTGCCAAGCTTCCACTCGCTGCCAGTAGTGAATATCATGTTCTTCCAGTGACACTTCTCCTTTCTCCCCGCATTCAAAACTAAACAAAGAAGTTCAGCTATTCCTAGTCATTACTCACAGAACAATGAAGGTATCTGCTCAATATTCAGAAGCTTATTAGCCTTGCCTGCATTATAAAGAGTATACAAGTAATGTGATTGCTTCATGTAAAGCGATAGAACATCTGTACCTAAAATACCACAGCAGAACTTAGCTTACCTACTTTTTGAATGGGAGAGGAAATGAACAACCACATCCCTCTCTATATCCTTCTGCTTTTACAGATCTCTGGGTTAAAGACTCCTAACCTATCCTGCTGTTCTTTATACAGAAACTATACTTAATCCTTCTTATTGTTCACCTCTACATTTTTCCTATCTATTATACTCTTTTCCAGGTTAGAAAGCCAGGCCTGCCCTCAGTGCTTTGAAGGCATGTCTACCATGAATTCAGAGTGGCATAATGATTTTCTACATTCTTCGTACTTTTTTTAATGCTCCTTTCCTACTAATCCCTACTGTTCTATTTACTTGCTTGACTGTCTCTGCACATTGACCTGATGTTTACAGAAAATTACCTACCACAACTCCAAGACCTCCGCCCTGAGAGATAACAGTTTCTTCAGAACCCACCACTGAGCATCTAAGTTAGGACTGTTTTCCCCACATGTATCACTCCATTATCAACATTAAGCTTCATCGGTCATTTTATCACCATGTCAACCAGCACTGAGAAATACTTCTGTAACCTTAGTAACTAACATTTGTTTTTACTACCCTCACAAATCTCCTATAACCAGAAAACTCTGTCGCCTCACTCTTCCATGCCCTTTGTCACGTGACTGAATAGGAAAAACTTCAGCACAGATTTCTCAAGAATTTCATGGATTATTGTCCTCCACTGAGAAATTCAACCATTTCTCACTTTTTACTTCTATTTTTTAATTGAGATCTTCCCTCTTATCCAAGTACAGATTATTTTCTTTAGGAATCTTTAATGAGGACGCTGGACCTCCAAAAATACAAAAAGAGAAGTTGAAATGACAAGTCTAGATACATCTAGATATAGAAGACATCTCTTAATAGTCTTTGATTATATACTTAGCTAGGAAATCAAAGGAGGACAACCACAACAAGGCAGAAGAACAGAACAATGTACAGACTTTAGAAAAAAACCTACTATTTTTTAGTACATCTAACAACAGAAGAATAAGGTACAAAATTAAAATGCTATGCACAAAAGCAAATTAAGTGATCTGCCTCTTAGCAGGATATAATAAGCGTAATTATTTTAAAGTGTAGTGGCAGTCATGAACTTAAATCATAGAATGATTTAGGTGGGAAGAGACCTTAGGTGATACAGCCCTCTGCTCAAATGTGCTAACAGCACAGGAAAACAGAGTTTCATGTAGGTAGAAGATAAGATCAGAGGAGGATACACAGGCTGTACATTCAGTGACATCACACAAAGTCAAACAAGTCGAACGTGGCAAATGATTTGCCATCTGCTTTTTTCCTGATCCCTCCCAATGCAAAGCATCTACAGAACTACTTTCAGAAAAGCTGAACACCAAAAACTGCATGTACCTTCAAACAGCTTATTAGGCTGAGAAACAAAATTGTGAGCTGTCTAAATTACCCTTGGCTGGAAAAACAGAAATCATGTGCCCATCAGCTGGCACTGCTGAAATCTCAACTATCACTCTTCTGTGACTCAGTTTCTCTGGGCTAAATTCAGTTGTGCAAGGTGGTGTCAAACGAGCTGTCATGGGATACTTGAGACATCTGCCATGGGCTGTAAGACATGGCAGAGCACCTATGGATGCTCCTTCCTGCGTAGTGGCAGCACAAGATCAAGTAAGGTACCTGAGGGCATCTCCAATGGCACGAGTCACGTGTGCAAGCAACTACACAGGCCTCTCCATCCACTCGATGTTGACAATGATACCTTTCACAATTAAATGTGAGTTTCCCAGTGAAACTTTTTCATTTCTAACTGATAAAGGCAAATTTTCAAAACCAAGCTGCTTGTAAGAAAGAGAAGGCTTCAGCACAGATTTTCAAATACAGCATTTAAAAAAGGCACTGCTGAAACATTTTATAGCTACTGTTTTAAATAAAAACTTCCAGTTTGCCGATTCAAAATGAATTTCAGCTGGAGATACAAGTTAATTGAAGGGAGAAGCTAAAATGAGTGAAACTGAAATGTAAGGTACTGAAATTACAGAATTGAAATGAATGTTCTAAATCAATTTTTCCCCAATTTTTGCTTTGATTTTTGTCCTGATTCAGTAGAGGGAAATGTTTTGATATGCTGAAAATTTCTGTGGGATGGGAATCCATTTCTAGCTTATCTGTAACACTTACTAATCTTTGTAGAGTATTTTGAGAACATAACAATCTAAGACTTCATATCATTGAAGGATATGATTAAAGCTATTTAATACAGAGATAAAGTGAGGCATAAAAATAATTTAAGAATAAGAAAGGATAAAAAGAAAATCCAAGAGGAAAACTGACTGGTTAGGGCACCTGTCTCCTTGTTTTAACCACCAGAACTTAATATCCAAAATGCCAACTCTGTCTCTTCAGTTAAAGATAAAAGTCTGTTACATCCAGAGTGGCTGAGGCTGAGAAAAAGGGAGCAAGGACTCCTTGGCATGAGTTTCCCAGTCTCAGCTCTCCAGATGGAGAACGCTGAAATTTCATGTACACAGAGACATATGCTTGGATGAGCAGCGCTGAATCTGAGGAGGAGACACCTTCCTGGTGCGGCCCTTGCCAACAGCGACGATTCCTTGATTAGGTTAGGATGCTGACAGAGGCATTTCTTAACGAGCAAATACCTCGCTATAAGCTCTCCGCATGTTGTTGGGATTTCAGAGACAAAAGAACACAAAGGCAAAGTAATGAGAAAATGTGATCTTTCGGAAAGCAAGCAAGTCTTAACGAACAAAATGAAATTAAAGATTTGTATTTTTTACTTCAGTTGCATATTTTGCTGATCTGCAGAGATCTATACAAATAGTGGCCAGTAAAAGAAGCATTTAGCTGCATGGCTGCAAAAGTTTCTGGCTAATAACCTTAAAGCCTATTATAAAACAAAGGGCACAGAAAGTTGATAACGTGAACAAACTAAAGGATAGTGTA